CCTCAGTCGTTCCTCAACATGTGCTTAAAGTTGTTTTTCTCCGGAACCATGATGGCTTTCCACTGTTGATTCACTTTTTCATCTGGAAGGCCTTGCGACTGATTGCATTTTTTCAAAACAAAACAAAACCATTGCCATAGTAATGTGTTGTCCAAATAGAAATTTTCAGGAACACACAGTATTATTTAACAAAACAAAACGGAACAGAAAATCAAGTGGAGGGAGGAGAGCTGGTGGGCCGTGTCGCTGAGACGCCCACTCTGGGCACGCAGAGGCTGCGTGATGCCTGTTTTCCTCTCCGCTCACTGCGTGTGTTTTTGAAGCAGCTGGTTGGAGTTGGAGCACTAGCCTGCGGCTGTGGAACAGAGAGGAGCTCACGATCTTCGTGGAGATCCGAGTTGTTCTCATTTGTGCTAATTGGCCTAGGCACGAACCAGAGCTTTCACACATAAGGTATCTCGGACATAAATCAGGTAGTTGGGTACAGTGCTGAATTAATTTGAAGATGAGACTCATGGCAGAAATCCTGATGTTCGCACCTAGAAATATCTATGGGGTCGTAGTGATCACAGTATCAACGAGAAAAATAACCATGAACGGAGAGTAGACACTTTTTTGCCAAGCTCTGCTTTAAGCCTTTATGAGCATGACTGTGTTTAGTCCTTGTGCCAGCATGGTGGGCAGGAGTCTGTCCTATTTTACAGTTTGGGAAACAGGCCCAGGGAGTGACGGTTTTGTCAAAGGCCACCCTATTTCAGTTTTTTACATTATGGTGGTGCTTTGGGTATGCAAAATGTTTTAGCTCATTCGACCCTTCCAGTAACCCCTGTAAGCAGAGCTGATGCTATCCCCAGTCTCAAACAAGGAAATTGAGGCTCCTGGAAATGAAGTCCCTTCTTAATGCTGACATCGCCAACGAGTGTCCCTGCTCTGACAGGAGCCCGAGTCTTCTGACATCCAGGCCAGCGTCCTTGCCGCCGTACCAGGCTGTGCCCCAGGTGATGCTCCAGAAGACTAACCACGTGCCCAGTGGGACTTCTGCTCTTCATTGTCCCTGCACTGCAGGAGGCAAGACCTCTCAGTCCAAACTGGAAGGCCGCTGCCCGGAAGCAGCGGACAGCCCTAAAAAGGGCAGAGAGCTACCTAACGACAGGCTGTGAGTAGGGCCAGCGCGCAGCAGCCGGGGGTGTGTCCGCTTTGTGTGGAAAGACTGACAGACCTGCCGGCTCTTTTCCACCATCCACAGTGGAGAACAACACCACCTTTATTTACCGGCAGAGGCGAGAGTTCCGTCGTCTTTTCATTTCGTTTCACAGACTTTTCCAGTCACTTTCTCCTCCCACTCTAAACCCTTGTGCCTGTGTTACCTTTTTGACTCTGGTGCCTTTTCCCTGTCAGCCCTGCAGCCAGTCTCTTTGGGGCATCCCCTTTTTTTCTTGCAGCACTTGGCTTATACCAGCCTAGCATGGGTGACGTACGCTGTGTGCCTTCCCACTGCAAATACGAGTAACAGCAATTGCTAACCCTTGTGGAGAGCCTGCCCTACTCCCGGCGTTATTCTACGTGCTTTGGATTCGTGTTACCGCATTCGTGCTTACAACGACCCCAGTGAGAGGAGGTTCATTACTACTCCCGTCTTACAGATGAGGAGACTTAAGGCCCAGAGAGGTGAGGCGACTGTCGCCCAGGTCATACAGCCCATACGTGGCAGAATCAGCAGTTGAACAGTCTCTGCTAGTTCTGGAGCCCATGTCCTTAACCGCCGCACTGTCTCTACATTTTGGTGGCACTGACTGTGTGCCAGGCCCTGTTCTGGGGCTTTAGTAGCTCCTTTAAGCTCCCAGCAGCCCTAGGAGGCATGCGTACTGGTGTCTCTTCTGCGCAGAGGGACAGCGTTTGCCCAGGACCATCCCGGGAAGTAGCCCAGGCAGGATTTGCACCAGGATCTGTTTGGCTCCAGAGTCCATGCTGCAACCCTCCGTCACATCCCTTGTCTTGCTGTCTTTGATTTTGGGTCTCATAGAGGTCTCTGCTTTGTGTTAGACCGTAAACCCCGCGAGAGCAAGGTGTGTGCGCAGTCACCCTGTCCTCGCTTGCCTGATAACAGGCCTGCCTTAGACGGCCATTCAAGAAATGTGCTGCGTGAGTGAGCGACCCAGGTGGTAAGGTGGGTTAGGTACCTGTGTGACGTGCTTAAACTTGGTTGAGGGAACCGCTGAATCTGCCACAAGTGAGAGAAACGAAGAACAGAGCGTTTCCTCCTTTTAAAATTATATAATAAATGTTTTGCTCCATCATTACAATTTCCTCTCAATCCAAGGAAAAGATGGATGAAGGGGAAGCTAGAGAAGGGAAAGGGCGAAGTCCCATTAGGAGCTCTGCTTCTGGCCTCCTGTTCACGATGGCAAGTGCCGATTTATAACCAAAGCCCCAGCACTCCATGCCTCGGCGGGATCTAGAGGAGGTGCTGTTGAATTGTGGTCAGGGTCTGGCAAGGCGGCTTTGCAGTCCTTGAGGAAAACCCAGCAGCCCGTGGTTATGGTGCCATCTGGAGATGGCAGCTGGTATTACCACCCCTTCAGTTCTAGGCGTGGGTCAGAATTCTTCTTGCAAAATGCATTTCCTCTTGAGTCACCAAAGTCCCATTTCATAATTGTTTCTCTGCTGACTTCATGCTTTGATCGGATCAGTAGTTGTTTTCTATTCCTTCTGTTAAAGAATCAGTCCTGCTTTATATTCATATAGCCAAGTTCAATTCGGAGCCGTTTTACTGATCATGAGCCTTGAATAAAAATCGTGTATATCAGGATGAGAACAGACATGGAATGCTGGGAGTGGTCAGCAGAGGCCCACACTCCCAGGGGGGAGTGCGGGGCAAAGTCTGTTGGGTGGAGGAGGCTGTGGTCTGGGGAAGGACAGAGAGGGGCAAGGTGGGTGTTCTTTTGCCATCTTTGCTTGTTTGCATCTGCTGTGTTTACCATTTGCTGAATGAGGAGAGTTCGGTGGAAATTAGGTGACGTTCTAACTTTGGGCCCTCAAAAGGCAGGTTTATTTTGCCATGATTTGCATAAGGGATTATATTTAGCCCAGGCAGTATTTAGCTGTAAATATTATTGGTCACTTAATTTATGACTTTTTCTCACTCTTCAGGATGGCAGACTTCTAACTTTTTGCGGGACGATAGACAGACGCGGACCTTAAACCCCCCTCACGCAGACCTCTGCCTTCCCCTGAGCAATTGAAAACACACACTTGTTTGTCCCCTCCTTAAAAATCCCCAGCAAGGGAAAATTCTGTGTTTCACTTGTTCCACTGTTGAACATGATGTTTCACTGGCAAGTTCTACATCTTTCATATGAACCAGTTCCTTAAAATCGTTTTTGCTGGTAAATTTACTTATTTTATTCTTCATATATGAGAAGATAATTATTTTAAACTAACCTTTTCACAAACCTAGATGTTACTTAGTATCTGGCTTTCTCTGGGGTTCTTGGTGCTCCTCAGCTTAGCTGTGACTCGGGGCCTTTCTTCTTAGAGGGTGTTTCTTAACCTTTTAAAACCCAGGTCTGTCCATTTAGCAGTCGCTGGGGGTTTGGGTTGTTTCCGCCTTTTGGCCCTTATGAATAATGCTGCTGTGGACATTGATGGCCACGTTTTTGTGAGGACGTGTGTTTTCATTTCTCTTGGGTGGGTACCTAGGAGTGGTATTGCTGGGTCATGTAGTGACCCTGTGTTGTATCATTTGAGGAAGCGCCAGACTGTTTTCCAGAGCAACTGCGCCATTTTACGTTCCCCCCAGCTGTGTGTGAGGGCTCTCGTTTCTCCAGACCCTCTCCAACACTTGTCTTTTTGATTCCAGCCTCCTCGTGGGAGTGAAGTAATGTTTTATTGTGGTTTTGGTTTGCATTTCCCTAATGACTCACACTACTGAACATCTTTTCATGTGCTTTTTCTCCATTTTTGTATCTTCCTTGAAAAAAGGTCTATTTAGATTCCTTGCCCATTTGAAAAATTGGGTTATCTTCCTTTTATTGGGTTGTAAGAATTTTTCGTATATTCTAGATAAAAGTTCCTTATTAGATATATGACTTGCAGATTATTTTCTCCCATTTTCTGGGTTGTCTTTTCACTTTTCTTGATCGTGTCCTTTGAAAGACAAAAGTTTTTAATTTTGATGAGGTCCAATTTTTCCATTTTTTTATTTTCTTTTTTTTTTTTTGAGGAAGATTAGCCCTAAGCTAACATCTGCCACCAATCCTCTTTTTTTGCTGAGGCAGACTGGCCCTGAGCTAACATCCGTGCCCATCTTCCTCCACTTTATATGTGGGACGCCTGCCTTAGCATGGCTTGACAGGCGGTGTGTAGGTCTGCACGGGGATCCGAACTGGCCGATGCTGGGCTGCCAAAGTGGAATGTGCGAACTTAACAGCTGTGCCACTGGGCTGGCCCCCCATTTTCTTCTTTTGTAAGATGATTTGTTTTCTATGGTACACGTTACAAAACTGTTAGATATATTTTCATTTTCCAAATGTAAAATTATAGAAAATACACTATTTTAAAAGTGCACCATCCCTCACGAGCCCTTGGTTGGTGGGTGGAGTGTGCTCTCCCCTCAAGAACCATGGATTCAGCTAGGGGCTTTCACCCAGCGCCTCGTTTCATGGGTGCTTCAATCATTTTGTATTTTTCTTTCAACTTTTTGCATGCTTCTAACTGGAAAGTTTTTAACTGAACAGGGAGTTTAAAATAAAATCTCAATTAATATTAAATAAAAGTGGAGAGGTAACATTTTGTAGGCCGTATGGATGTTCTGATCTTTAATATCCTGTTACATTTTAAAAACAACTGTACCCAGTCATTTCACAATATTCTGCCTTTCATCCCAAGACCATTGTATGTTCTGGTTCTGCAGAGCAAGTCTTCAGGCTGGATGGCTGCAGTAAATGTGATTGTCGAGGGTGATCGCTTTCCTAAGGGTCCTCTTTCTTCTTTTCCAACAGGTATGGCAGATCCCAGAAAATGGACTCACCCTTTCCCTGACCGAACCTGTGGTGATTCTAGAAGGCCACTCAAAGAGAGTTGGTATCGTGGCCTGGCACCCGACAGCCCGGAACGTGCTTCTCAGCGCAGGTAAGCGGCCCTCGCCTTTCCCCTGGCCGGCACATTCTGACTGAGTGCTGCTCAGTTTTGAAGGAGGTCATTAGGAACCCACGAAGAGATGCTGAGATACAGTGGTTCCTCAGCCCGTGCGCGCACACGTGTCTGTGAAGCCACTTTGATAGTCTGGTGGAAGCTGCGGACTTCCTACTTAGAAAAATGGACAGATACGTACTTACTTGCCTGTAATTTCAGCAGGTTCATGCTTTCTGCTGGGGCCCTCCGTGGACACAGTTAGTTACTCTTGATGGAGAAGGAACCCTTGTGGGAGCCAGCTCTGGTGTTGCTGCCAACTTTGGGGTCATCCTGTTAGGCAAATATCCTCCTGCTTTTTAAAAAGTACTTTAATTTTTCTCTTTATACAAGTTGTACATGTATATTATAGAGAATGTATATAAACAAAAGGAAGAAAATAAAAATCACTTGTGATCCCGCTGCCCAGAGGGAACATCATTATTACCGTTTTGATGTTTCTTTCTGGAAGGTATTCCTGTGCACCTACGTAAATGATTTTACACACGAAGATGGGTTGAGGTACTTCACACATTACCTGCTTTCTGCACTTAGTGGTGCACTGCCGTCCTTTCGTGTGCCGTTAAATGTTCTTCCTCTGATGTTTTTAATGACTCCATTCGTGATCACTGTCTGGATAGCTCCGTTTATTTAATCAGTCCCCTGTGTGTGGAAGTTGAGGTGGTTTCTGATTTTTCACTTTAAACAGCACTGCAGTGAACTCTGGTGACCGAGTCCTGCTGTTCCTTCCTGTTGGTTTCCCACTTGGGTAGTTTCCAAGCTTTATCCTACAGAAATCTTCTTTGTCTAAAATGTGAGATTTTATCTTCTTTTCTAGAAGCAACACAGTGGGCATGAGGGAACTTCGTGGGGTGATGGAAATGTTCTCTATCTTGATTGTGATGGTAGCCACGTGAACATACACATTTGTCAAACTTAACAAATGTGTACTTAAAATGGGTACGTCGTATTGTGTGTAAATTATACCTTAATAAAACTGGTTTATTAAAAAAGCAATACTAGGGGCCAGCCCCGTGGCTGAGTGGTTAAGTTCGCACGCTCCGCTGCGGCAGCCCAGGGTTTTGCTGGTTCGGATCTTGGGCGCGGATGTGGCACTGCTCATCAAGCCGTGCTGAGGCGGCATCCCACATGCCACAACTAGAACGACCCACAACTAAAAATATACAACTGTGTACCAGGGGGCTTTGGGGAGAATAAGAAGAAGAAAAAAAAGAAATTGGCCACAAATGTTAGCTCGGGTACCAGTCTTTAAAAAAATAAAATAAAATACTATTTACAAAAAGGAAAAGAAAGCAATACTAACGTTGGTGGTAGAACTTAAAAGATCTTTCCCCTCACTGGTAAAAAGGAGAGGAATCAGTTCAGTTTTTTTTTTTTGAGGAAGATTAGCCCTGAGCTAACTATTGCCAGTCCTCCTCTTTTTGCTGAGGAAGACTGGCCCTGAGCTCACATCCATGCCCATCTTCCTCTACTTTATATGTGGGACGCCTACCACAGCATGGTGTGCCATGTGGTGCCATGTCCGCACCGGGGATCCGAACCAGCGAACCCCGGGCCTCCAAAGTGGAACGTGTGAACTTAACCGCTGCGCCACTGGGCCAGCCCCCAGTTCAGTTTTTAACTGGGAATAAAGAGTTTTTATAATATAATGAGTTAAATAAAAAATTTAACGCCAGGGACCTATTGAATCGAAGAAACTGCTTTTCAAAAAAGATGCTACCCAGGATTCTCTTTTAAAATCACAACCGTACCCAGGAAGCCCTCTGAAATTTGACTCAGAGCCTCAGTCTGACAAGGAGGGGAAACAGTTCCAAAGGTAGAACTGCATCCCGGAAAGTTCCCGCTGCCTTCCTGTCGAGGTCAAGCGTAGGGTATGGCAAGCAGACTGAGCCCTGCGCCCCCTTTTACAGGCCCCGGAGAACGGTGGGCCGCAGGGCTCTGCGCGTTTAAGGCTGCAAGATCCGCCCCCAGCGGCTGTGCCTGTGCTGAACAAGGCGCAGGAGGGGCCGGGTCTCCATCCCGGAGTTCAGCTCCAGCTTTTCATACTGTTGTGCAGTTTTTCCTCTAATTTCCTCCATCTAACCCTTTGGCAACTTAGGTGTCCTTGATGTGAGTGGCTGATTTTTCTAAAGTGCTTGCAAAATTAGCTTACTGGCAAAAATTCACCTTCAGGATGTCCATCTTTTATTTTGCTTCATCCTTGAACTAGTATCCTGGAAGCAACAGCAGAAAGCCTCTTTGTAGAGGGGCCTCGGGGGTTGTGGCCGAGCCTTGAAGGACAGAGTTGATGAGCTGAGGGGTTGTGGCTGAGTCGCCATTGTGGCCTCCCTGGGGATCAGTTCCTAACTCGACGTGCCTGCAGTTTGGGCTTCTCAGAGCAGCCCGGTCTCGGTCTATTTTTCTCCTCTTTTAGAGATAGAGATCTGTTGTGAACAGATGTTTAGGGTGGCCTTTGCATTTCCTTTCACTTACTGTAATTTACCAAGACGCGTTCTACAGCATCATTGATTTGAATAACCTCCATCCTTTATTTTTGTTGAGTGGCCTAAACAGTTATTTAAACTCTTTATTTTTAGTTTCTCTGGAAAAGAAATAAGCTGTATTCATTCTGATGCTAGTTTTACTAGAAAAGGAAACTTACAGTCACTTGGGGTCTGCCAGCCCACTTAACTCTTAAAAAAACGTAAGATTCTATTTTCTTGTAGTTCTTTGTTTTTGGTTTATTTGTCATATGAACCCAAACTTAACAAGCTGTATTTTTCCTTTAACACTTATTTCTTTTATACAGATGTCTTTTTTCTTTGTTACTTCAGTTTTTAACTCCCTGTCAGTAGGGTCTCTTATAAACAGCACCGTCCCTTCAGTGCATGTGTCTCCTCACCGTATTGGTGGTTTTCACAAAGGTGTAGTTGCACAGGTGTTCTGATCTCTGAGCGGCGTGGTTTTGCTTGCTTTTAGGTTGTGACAATGCCATCATCATCTGGAATGTGGGGACGGGGGAAGCCCTTATAAACTTGGACGACATGCATGCAGACATGATTTACAATGTCAGCTGGAACCGGGATGGCAGCCTGATCTGCACAGCCTCCAAAGACAAGAAAGTGAGAGTTATCGATCCTAGGAAGCAAGAGATTGTTGCTGTGAGTATTCTTGGGGCAAGAGCCGCAGTGTTTGTAGCACTTCGGGGAGGGTGAGCTGTCTGCTTTGTAAGGTGGGCTGCAGAGGCTGCGCTGCTGCTCAGTGGACCCTTACTGTCTGCACACGCCACACGGTGCGTCGGAGAAGGCTTGGACGGGCTTCTGCCTCCCGATCACTCTTCTCTTCAGGTGGACATTTCTAGCCTTTGCCCAAGGCTTCTCTCTCACTTGGTGACCATTTTTCACAAAGAAACAGTTTTTACCAGTTTGCTAGAGTCCTTAAGAATTTATAAGTCTCAATCAGCTTATCCAAACAGTTAACTGCCTTCCCGGCTGGGTACTGAATCTTGACAGATTGGTTCCCCGCTCTGTTCCAGAAGTGCTTGTTAAAGTGCCTTACAAAGATGCAGCGTGTTCTCCCAACAGCTCAGTGTCTTGGTTTCTGTCACCTAAGCTAGACCTCAGCAGAATCACATATGACAAAAGATGGACACTGGAGACGTGAGTCAGGGCTGAAGATGCACGGTTCGCTCCCGGGATGCCTCGCTTCAGCCCCACTCTGAGGCCCGTAGTTGCCCTTCTCTGACGTGTGGTGGTTCTTCAGCAGTGTTACTTCTCAAGGCTCAGGCAGCGCTCATGGCTAGTGCTTATCCAGCACTGGGACTCGCCCTCCCCATGCTGAGTGCTTTCTCCACTAGAATCTTCCAGGGGTTGGTACTAGTGTGCTCGTTGAACAAATGAGGTTGAGGAAGGGGTTAACTAAACCGAACTTCTTCCTGTCCTGAGAAATTGGTGGAAACTCCAGGGAATCTCCCTCCTCAGGTTATTATCCTCCTGAGGAGCAGACAGAGGCCTTTCCTGGGTTTTATTTTCGCAGTGCGTGCTCCTGGGTTGACAGCAGGTGGCGAGAAGGAGGCTTTTGAGTCCACTCCTGGCACTCTCACTCGCTAACCAGTTGAGGGACCTTGACCAGATTGCTTAGTGTCTCTGTTTCCTCATCTGGGGAGGGGAGGTAGTACACACACACACACACACACACACACACACACACCCCCCACACCCATTAATCCGAATGGCATGTGGGGTCCAGGTCTGAGCCCCCAGCCTCCTGCCTCACCCTTCCTTCTTGCGGTTTGAATGTGTGTAATGTGCCTCTTTGCCCTTTCTGCCCCAGGAGAAGGAGAAAGCACATGAAGGAGCAAGACCCATGAGAGCCATCTTTCTGGCTGATGGGAATGTCTTTACCACGGGTTTCAGCCGCATGAGTGAGCGGCAGCTGGCTCTCTGGAATCCGGTATGCCCCTCCAGCCTTTCCACTGGCTTACCCTGGAGCTGTCTCTCTTTTCTGAGCAGGTCTTTGGGTTGGTATGTAGATTGTAGGATTCTCAGTGTAGTTTTCTGAACTCCTGCTTGTCTTAAATTAGATGTGAAGGTCTCATCCTCACTAGAGATTTATTACTGAATGTATTTCAAAAATGCATTCTTGATATTCCCAGGGAGTCTGTGTTGACTCTATTTTTTAGAAAGAATGCACGAAGAATCCAGTGTTTTAGACTTGGGAGACAAATTCTAAACTTCTGTTTTATAAAGAATATGATCAAATGTCTAAATCAAAATAGTCATGTTTAGGAAAATGTTTAGAATAGCATAAGTGAAAAAAAAATACTAAACTGTGTATATGGTACGATCCCAATCTGTGTGTGTTTGTGTGTGGGAAGGAAATAGACCAAAACAGTCATTGTTTCTGCCACCCACTGGACTGTGGAATTATGGAATATGGGATGATTTTTATGTTCTTCTGTATCTTTTAATTTTTTAAAGGCATATATTTGTTTTATAATAAAAATACTGCTCAAAAAGAAAATAGTCACAGTGGAGAAGGACTCTCATGGAATCGCGCTGATGTGCATTAATTATGTTTTGAGATCGACACAGCTTTCAGTGGGTTGGAGCCCGTTTAGCATCCCTATCGGTATTTACTTGGATGGATATTATATGTGCATTATGCAAACTTTTCTTGTTCTAGGGAAATGGCTAACTTAAGGATAAAAAATGTATAGTATTACAAAAATTCATTTTTTAATATATATCTGTTTTTTTCCCCAGAAAAACATGCAGGAACCAATTGCTCTTCATGAAATGGACACTAGCAATGGGGTGTTGCTGCCCTTCTATGACCCTGACACCAGTATCATTTACTTATGTGGAAAGGTAGGCAGTAATTTTGATGCTGGATATTAAATTTAATTCTGTAGGAAGGAGAAGTTTATCCTTCAGAAATTTAGTAGATAGGCAATGTGTTGTATCATTTTAATGTTTTAATTTGCCTGATTTGTGTGTGTGTGTATGTCTCAAGCTAAAATAGGGACAGATGATTTTCTTCTGTTTTTGGTCTTGAGACTGGCCCGTCAGTAAGTTGCCAGCTGTGTGGCAGTAACACTTCGTGTCCAGTACTTTTGACCGAAGCGGGGATTGGGCTGGGGTGTTGGGGCAGCTGCTGACAGGGAGGTCTCTGCTGGGGCCGTCTGGTGAGAAAAAGAGGCCAGACGGGCACCTTTTCACCCAGTGTGCGCATGGTTGGTGCTTTTAGGTTCTCTGTGCTGGCATCGGGGCTGGGTAACTCGTCTGCCACGTCTGATGCCAAAGAGTGAAGAGTATGTGAGCTTCTGAGGGCCTCAGAGACTCCGGGGGTTCTTGTCCCTGGAGTTCAGCGTTAGGGCCTGGGCTTGGAAATGTGTGGCCTGACTAAAGTTTCAGGAGGTGACAGTTGTTACAGGAAGAGCCCACACTGAACCCCAAAACCCTACCGCCTGCCTTGTGATCCCCACGTAACTAGAGTGTTGGCAGCTTTGTTTTCCTTATTGTCATCGTTTCATTTTAGTAGGCAGTAACCTCAGGGTTCCTTATTCTTTTGTAGTTGAGTTCTCCTTAGAATCTGTAGTTGAAATAAATGAATTAAAACTGGCGCTGTTGGTGTGGCGTATTCCCCCAGACCTGGCGGAGCTGGTTGCTGGGGAAGGCTGGCGTGCTTTGCTTCTTTTCACAGTTGACTGAGCGGCTGCAGGCCTGCTTTACATTTTTATAGGTCACTTACTTAGAAACTGAGATCTTGTCTGTTTCCTTGAAAGATGCTTTACTTGAGGTGATAACAGCTGCCGGAGACTGCATCAAAACAAACAAAAGGAGCAGCTGTTAGCACCAAGTGGGAGATTATTTTGAGCCTGCGGAAAACAGATAGCATGTATTTAGCTTCTTCGTCATTGCTTTAGATGTTTACATCATTGAAACAAATGGAGTCAGGAGAACTGAGAATTGTTAGGGCAGGAGATCGCCTGGCTGTTTCTATCTTATATATCTGACACAGACCCGTGCACGCACGCACGTCTCCCTCTGCCAGGCAGGATTGCCTTCATTGTTCAGGTTGGTGTAACTGTGTGACAATTGTTTATACTCGGAGAAACGAGCATATGCTTCCCCCAAATCTGACAATTCTGAGGAAAATTATCATCGAATCTGACACATTGCAGTGAGATAGCACTACCTTCTGAAGTTAAAGGATATTCACTAAAACGAAAGTTTCTTAATGAGAAAAATTTTACTTTTTATTATCACCTGACTGCCCGGGGTCGGCGCCCTCAGGTCTGTGAACGACACTGCTCTGCCACGTGGGTGATCGGGTACTTAGGTCGATCGTCCTCCCGGCAGGCCTCCTGGTCTTCAGTTTTGTTGCTGTTGACGTTGGATTGCAGGGTGGCTGTTTGGCAGAGGTGTTACTGTTTCGCCCTGGCTCTGGTTGGCATCTCGCTCGGTGGAGTAACGCCGGAGCTTCCAGTAGGAGGAGAGGAGACGGTTAGGGGGCATGCTGGCGTGTCATGAGTGAGGGCCTCCTCCGCCAGGGAGAGAGATGTCGTTTGCTCTAGGCGGGCCTCTTCTGAGGAAGAAAGGTCAGCCGCTACAGCGGAGTCCCAGTTAAGGCTGGGTCATAGGGGATAGACTCCCGCTAACACCCGATGGCTCAGGTAACGTTCAACATGGGCTTGTCTCCGATGTCTTGTAGGGTGACAGCAGCATCCGCTATTTTGAGATCACGGATGAATCCCCATATGTCCACTACCTCAACACCTTCAGCAGCAAGGAGCCTCAGAGAGGCATGGGTCACATGCCCAAGAGGGGCCTTGATGTCAACAAATGTGAGATTGCCAGGTAAGGTGTTCTCACTGTTTATAGTCCACGTTATAGAGGAGTGGTACGACGACAAGCAGTGCTGAATGCTCCCGTCCCTCTCCCCTTGTGGGTGGCACAGCATTAGTGTCTTATTTCCTGCCCGTGCTTAGAAGGGGGCGGTTTTAGGGCAGGAGGGAACCGTTCCCCACCCTTCAGCCCAGCCGTGCCCCTCCGCCCTTCAGATTACACGGCTGGAAGCGCAGCAGTCGCGTGCCTTAGCTGAGGTGCGTTGCACACACAGTTCAGCAGTGACGCCTTTGTGTCTTGTCTTCGGACTGAGGCTGTGGCCAGTGTCCTCTGGGAGGCAAGCAGGGGAGAGCCTGGCCCTGTGATGGAATAAGGGACAGTTTTCCTGCGCCAGGGGGTCAAACCAGGTTCCAAACTGGACTGTGAACCCTGCGGATCCTACACTAGAGAAGCCAGGATCCACCGTGGGCGGTGGGTTAGCTTGGTTTAGGAAATTCGGCTGTGTCAGGTCATTCTTGCCTCTCCACTCCCCTGGCTTTTTAAAATACTTGTATTGCGTGATGCTAGTGGGCGTCCTAGGGGGCGGGCTGCTTTCTCAAACTTTTCAACAAAAGATACTCACTTGACCACTGGCCACTTTAAACAACAGAATCACTGTCACTACCTTATTAGGTGTAACATCCTAGCACACATTTGTATAACGCTATGTTTATGTGGACACTTGTCTTAGTCTGCTGTTCTGGTCACACTATTAAATAATTGACACTTAACGTCTTTTTTTTTTAAGATTTTATTTTTCCTTTTTCTCCCCAAAGCCTCCCGGTACATAGTTGTGCATTTTTTTAGTTGTGGGTCCTTCCAGTTGTGGCATGTGGGACGCCACCTCATCATGGCTTGATGAGTGGTGCCATGTCAGTTCCCAGGATCTGAACCGGCGAAGCCCTGGGCCGCTGCAGCGGAGCGTGTGAACTTAACCACTTGGCCATGGGGCCGGCCCCGACACTTAACATCTTTAAAAACAAAAATGAAAGAATTTTTATAAGCCCTGTTCTATATTAACCACTATGGATTTTTTTTTTAGGTTACAAAATTATTATTATTTTTTTAACTTTTTATTAAGATTATGATAGTTTACAACCTTGTGGAATTTCAGTTGTCCATTATTGTTAGTCATGTTGTAGGTGCACCACTTCACCCTTTGTGCCCTCCCCCCATGGATTTTTTTTTTAATCCATTCAACTCCCTATGACTGGAGTAATGAAGGAAAGCTGTCACAGATAATTCAAAATCGTGGTGTCAACCATACCAATCAAAACACGATTCACAATAGATTGAATCTGAATTTAAGATTGCTCCAGTGTTTGGGAACACACTTCTTTTACTGTCACCTTAAAGTTTAAAAGACCACAAGCAAAATCCTTCAGGACGCCTCCTGTTTATTAAGTGTTTCTTGAGCATTCGTTGTGTGTTGGGCACTGTGCTGAACCTGCCCTGTGGATTGCCCTGTCACCTACTGTAACAGCCCTGTGGGCCTCTCCTGCCCCTTTGTGGTTGGCCACAGAGGCTTGCTGAAGGGCTGCACGCTCTGGCGGCTGTGTCCGGAGCTGCATGTCGGGCCCTGGTCAGTCTTTTCACCACAGTGCTGACTGCAGAGGTTTGTGCTTTCTGTTCCTGCTCTGTCCACATTTTGGATAATTTCAGATTTTTCCTTAGTGTTATGCATGATATGGTTTGGATGCCAACATTTTAATTCCTAGGATTGCCTTCTTTTCCTTTTTAAAAATCACATTGATACTTACAAACGTTCACCCACCTCAAGTGGGCAGAAGACCTGGCATCTACGTCGTAGATACTATCTAGTATGTAGGTGTTTGTTTCCTCCTGTCTGGTGACTTGGTAATTTTTTCACAAGTGTTGACCTGCCCCCAGATAACTGGAATTGGACTGTCACCGTAATGCACAGAGCTCTCTGCCCCTGGTTCTCGTCTCCCGTCTGCCATTTCCCAGCACAGCTACTCTCGGCTTCTGTTTTCTCGTCTGTAAAATGGGAACACTGAGTTCTCCCTGCTCTCCGGGGCGAATCCGCTGAGGCAATGGGCAGAGTGTCCCATCCCACGTGGCACTGGAGAAGGGGAGTTTTTACTAAGCCTGTGTCGGCCTCCTGTTTTACTGAATGCCATTTTGCCTTTATTTCCCTTTTGAAGATTCTTCAAACTTCACGAGAGAAAGTGCGAGCCTATTATCATGACTGTCCCCAGGAAGGTAAGTGCCCATTTTTCTAGGCAATCCATGTTTAAAGACGATTTTAAAAACTGCAGACCTTTTTTCCTTCCCTAAGGGTTTCCTCACAATGTCTCTTGTAGTCTGACCTGTTCCAAGATGACCTGTACCCTGACACGGCGGGGCCCGAAGCGGCGCTGGAGGCGGAAGAGTGGTTTGAGGGCAAGAACGCGGACCCAGTCCTCATCTCCTTGAAGCACGGATACATTCCAGGCAAAAACAGGGATCTCAAGGTGGTCAAGAAGAACATTCTGGATAGCAAGCCCAGTGCAAACAAGAAGTGTGACCTGATCAGCGTCCCCAAGAAAACTGCAGACACAGCCAGTGTGGTAAGGACCATGGGAGGGAGGATGTGCCTGGCTGGGCTGGGCCTGGTGCTCCTGAGAGCACCTTCGGTCCTGGGCATCGGCGAGTACTGTCCCCACGGACAGATGGGCCTTTCAGTAAAGGACAACTTGTGCTCTTAGAAGAACCTCCTCAATCACGTGACATTTATGAGTTTGTGGCCATGTTTGGCTCCTTTAGCTCTGTTTTTGATAATGACCAGGACAGAAGTTGGTTCACTGCCATCTCTGAGAGTGAACAGGAGCCCCTTGGGGTTTTTCTAACTGTCTTTCCCCAAACTATTTACAGCCATCTCTGATGGGGGTAGAAATGAAACATGAGAGCATAGGGGCATAGATGCCAGGAGGAGAAGGTCCCAGGAAGGAGGGGGTGCCGAGAGGGTTCCCAGGTTGCCGAGCGTTCGAGTGACATGAAGGATCTGGCACTGTGTGGCACTTAGCAACAGAAATGATCTTGGGTGTCCTGGCAAGAACCCTTTTAGTGGAGCGATGGGAACCAAAGCCTGACGTTGCAGACCGTGTGGCTGCTGGAGAGCACTGCTACTGGGCGAGCAGGGTCAGGCAGGGAGGGGGAGGTAGGGAGTGGTGGGCTGTGGAACAGAGCTCCAGGGAGCCAGAGCGCAGGGCCGCCAGTTCTCAGTGAGAGGGTAAGGGGACGAAGAGGCAGAGTGCCAGGAGGAGCTGCTGTTTGGCAGTGTCTGAGGAAGCCACATGAGGCACAGTGGACTTTGGTGACTGCAAGGTTTCCAAAAGAATCAGCTCCATGTGGGAGAGGCCCCGGCCTCTTTAGAAGAGTTAGCAGGCAGGGCAAAGGATTTAGCTCCCAAGAAGGACCCTCCCTCGGAGATGGTTAGGAGCCTTGTAGCCTCTGAAAGGTCAGCCTTCATCCTGGTCACATAGAAGTTACTCCTGGGGCCGGCGCGGTGGTTGAGTTTGCGCGCTCAGCTTCGGCGGCCTGGGGTTCGCAGGTTTGGATCCTGGGTGTGGACCTAACACCCCTCGTCTAGCCATGCTGTGGCGGCGACCCACATAAAATAGAGGAAGACTGGCACAGATGTTAGCTCAGCAAGAATCTTCCTCAAGCAAAAAGGGGAAGATTGGCAACAGATGTTAGCTCAGGGCCAGTCTTTCTCACCAAAAAGAAAGTTGCTCCTGATGGAGTTCCATGACTGGGGTCGTGGGATATAGGGCAGCTTTGAAGGAATCAATCTTGTCTGCAGTTTACTTGTGCCCCAAGAGATTGTCCAGATGGGTGCACAGGCATGGGGACCAGAAGTAGCACTGTCATGCACTGTGGTTTTGCTGTGGGTGTCTGATGGACTGACCAGCATTAATTACTTTCTCATAAGGCCCAACCTGGCAGCTATGGCTTGCCACTTCCAAAATAGAAAATTACATTTTATGCCTTATAAATTCTCAACTGCATTAAATTTTGTTTACTGCTTTTTTGTTTTTTGAGGAAGATTAGCCCTGAGCTAACATCTGCTGCCAATCCTCCTCTTTTTGCTGAGGAAGACTGGCCCTGAGCTAACATCCATGTCCATCTTCCTCTACTTTCTATGGGGGACGCCTGCCACAGCATGGCTTGACAAGTGGTGCCATGTCCGCACCGGGATCCGAACTGGTGGCTACCCGCTGCTAAAGCGGAACGTGTGACTGTCGCTGCTGCGCCACCTGCTGGCCCCTGGGTGCTGCATTTTGGTCACCCTCCTCCCTCCCTCCTTTTTCTTGTTTCCTTAGCAAAATGAAGCCAAGTTGGATGAGATTTTAAAAGAGATCAAATCTATAAAAGACACAATCTGCAATCAAGATGAACGTATTTCGAAGTTAGAACAGCAGATGGCGAAGATAGCAGCCTGAAGGTCCACCCCCCACCCCCAAAATGGGAGCAAGGACTTGTGCTCGTGGCTGGTTGTCGATGTGGTCCCAGGGAGGGCGAAAGGGAGGCACTGCCCTTGGGAGACATTCCATTTCAGATTGTTAACCAGCGATAGGCCACATTCCAGGAAGAACTCAATTCGTCTCCCAAATTTGCAGAAACAAAATGTGATTTAAAAGCTGAGCTTTTTATCAGAAAGCTTTTTTGATGTTTTAAGTGTTATGTGACTTGTTGAACTTTTAAAAGACAAAAGTGCTACTTTTAAAATCCCAGATATTCTGAATTTTAGAAAACCAACCAATTCTGATTCAGTGTCGTGCCCAAGTTCCTTTTTTTACAAACAGGGACCAATGCCACATTGCTTTTTATATTTCTTTTTTTTTTAAATGTTGCCAAAACCAAAAGTAGTAGCTTTTTTTCTTTGTATTTTGCTACCTTGCAGTATTTGTGTGTGGGTTTTATTTTTTCCTTAATTTGAAAGGGACAGCACTGTGTATGTTTATAAACTAAATGAAGATAAGATATTATTTTGTATCAATGTTCACCTGAAAACAATCTGAGCAGTAGGCACATCGTGCCGGCTCGTTCGCAGCGCAGACCTGGTCATCTTAGTGACTGTACAAAAGGAAGACTCGAAAAATCACGTGGGTTCGTATCCCTGCCCCTCTCATTTCACTGAGTCTTCTGATCAAAAAAGCTCCAGAGCGTATCATTTCCTTTCTTTCTCTTTTCTAGAAGTTGGGTGGTTGTAGCAGAACGGAATTCTGCTTCTTGGTTATCCTGTGCTTCAGATGATTACACTCTAGCCTAACTAGCACGTGTGTCTGCAGTGTCGTTACACAGAGAACCGCTGCCCTCATCTCCTTAACATCGGGCTTCAGGTCTGGGCCGGTGCTCGACTAGGCGTGCCGGGACGAGAGGACGTACGCACTGTTGAGTGTCCTTCTCACCTATTTCAGCAGCTTGCCCAGCGCCTGAGTACGCTGGGGCGCTGAGAAGTAGGGACCTTGGAGGGGAGGGTTTGCCTGTGTGACCCTCCGCTTTCCCGCCTGTCCCCTGCTGTCCTGGGCTGGGCCGTGCTGCAGGGAGAAGGGCTCTCCCTGTGCCTCCCTCCCTCCTCACCGTGCACTGCCTCGCTCACGGTTCCTTCCTGCCCTTTGGCTCTAACCGTTCAGCTGAGGTGAGGCCAGAGGTGCTGTTGGATCCTGAGGCTGAGAAGAATGGTCTAGAAGGAAGCACGACGAGGAGTGCAGACCTCTGCTGTAGCTTTAACATGTACAGACATGTCCGTCTGCCCCTCTGCATAGACTAACCTGCTGCGCCCTCCAGCTCGCACCCAGCTGTGTCACAGCAGGCGCCCCCCACTCAGGCGGGCCGGAGGCTGAGCCCTGGTCCCCTGCTCTGTTCCTTGGTCAGCTAGACCTTCTCTCCGTTTCCATTTTCTCGTGCATGCTTGAGAAGCAGGATTTAAGGAGCCTCTGTTCTGGAATGGCTGAGTGTCTGTGATGGAACATGGAGCATAGAGGGTCATTGGGACCATAATGGGCCCACTTTTGCACATGCTCGTGCTGGTATGGGGCTGGAACTGGCTGGAAGCGTCTGTGCACTGGCAGCAAGGCTGGAGGCAGAGTGTGGTGGCAGCGGGTTAGAATGCAGCCAAGCTGGGGGTGATGTTGCGTAGAAAAGGTACCGTGTTCTTAACCCATACTGGGAACACTGTCTCCACAATTTCAGGGCATCTGAGTGTTTGGTGTGGTTTTTTTTTGTGTGTGTTTTTAATATTGAAGTGGATAATGAGATACAAAGAAAACAATAATTACAGTGACTTATATTCCAATCTGGACATGTTTCTTTATCAGCATAGTCTGCTGAGGACCTTCATTTTGAAGATTCAAAAATATTTTACAGTTCTAGTATCAAATTAAGTAAGTAAACAAAATTGTTGTTGTTGGTGAAGCACCATCAGGAGCGTGGTTCAGAGAGAAGAGGGCGGGCAAGGAGAGGTTACCCTGGTCCTAGTGTGCAGCTTACGGCTGACTTAACGAGCGGGTGCCCCGCCAGGCTCAGAATCGGCGCCTGAAGCATTGTGGGCTGTTTGTCCTGTTTTGTCTTTTCTTTAAGCCGTGCTATCCCGGAGGAGAACCAGTGCATTACTCCTAGATCGGCTCTTATAGAGCAGCCATGGTGTTCTGTCAAAACACTTGCTTCCATTTTCAAAGATAAAAAATCATTGACTACAAAATGGTGTCCGTGTTTATTTCACGCCTGGGCTGTCTTGGAGGCTGCCCACGGCTCTGCCTGGCCCAGCTTCTCTGACTCAGTGGAACTAGCCAGGTGACTTTGACCTCTCAGGGGGGATACGGGGCCGTGTGGTGGGCCACTCAGCTCACCAGAGGGGCAGGTCCAGGGCTCGCCTGGAGTGGAGTGCCTGCGTGCCACGTTCCCGCAGGCCTGGATATCTGAATCCTGCCTCCAGCCTTCGCCGGGCTGTGCTCGGGGGCAGAGCTCCTAACCTGGGTGAGTCCCTTTTCTTATTTTGGGAGAGGGGTGGTGGGAACTCTCTGGTTTCGGGGAAAGAGCTGGCGCACAGGGAGCCCTCACTGCGCGGCTGTCGCGGTTCCTTTGCCCAGCTGCTTCCCTGACGGCCTCTGAAAGCACTTTCTTCTTCAGTAGCAGTAAAATTCTCTTGGCTTGGCTCTGATTTTTATTCCAGCTTCCCTTTTTTGCACTAAAACATTGTCTCATGACATTTCAGTGACTCTAGTGAAGAATTCCCCACCGTTTGGTTTTTCTGAATGTTGGTAAATAGGGTGGCACGAAGCTCCCCTCCTCACCCACCTTCTCCTAAAGTTGCTGTAGTCTGGGGTAGCGGCGGCCAGGTTTGTGGTCAGCGTGCGTGGTGGCAGGAAGTAGAAGCTGGCAGATGCTGTCTGTAGCCCCTGGGTGCCCGTGGTCAGGGGGCAGACGCGTGGTGTGGAGTGTTTACAACCCACGGTTCTTCTCACTTCAGCCGCCTGGCTTTCCAGAATACTGAGAGGTCACCATCTTAGCTCCAGACAGCCGGCAGCCAGGCCCTGTCGCCGGAGAACTTCCGTTTTTTAAAGGCTACTTCCCTTGCCGTACTTGATGTTCTGTGTCCAGAAAAACGTTTTGTTGGCTCTTAAGAATCTGTTAACTCTAAGTGGCCCTTCCCTTTCTGCCAGCATGTTAGGCGTCCTAAAGCCATCACCAGGTCGTGGACCTGAGTCACGATCAAGGACACCCACTTTTCCTTCTTCGGACAGGCAGGACTGTTGTCCAGGCTGGACAGCACCCTTTGTTCCTTTTTTTTTACTTAAAAAAATCCTTTCCTCCACTGCTAGGAGTGTGTGCAAATTGGTACACTCCTTCCAGAGACTAGTGTGACAGGGTATGCTCTCAGTGTTCTTACCTTTTGGCCCAGGACTTTCACCTCTGGGAATTTTGTCCTAAGGAAGCTATAGGAGTATATATTTAGGAACTGGAAGAGTAAAAATGAGTCGAGCAAGGTCACTTAACTAAGGACCCCAGGACAGATGGTTTTCAACAAACCCTTTTAAGGATCTATGCATAAACAATGTATATTTATGTGTGGAATAAATACCACAAATGTTGTTGCTATGTGTATGTTGTTGCTTTGTGTTGCTATGTAGCTGTTATGGGTAATTTTTCATTGGATTTTTCTGAACTTCTAAATTTCCTGTAAATGTCTTTATTCCCAGAAAGAAGTTATTAAAATTAATGTGTGATAAATTAATAATAGATTAGAACAAGCATGGTGAGTCAGTGGTGGGGAAGGAAGCAATGTGCGTCGTTCAGCAGCTCTGGGGGCGGGGGCTCCTCAGAGCCGCACGGCGACACCAGGGTGCGTTCTCTGTGGAGGCCGTAGTCAAAGGAAAGGAAACTGTTTTTCTTTCCAAATTTAGAAGCAAACAATAAGTCCCTTTTTATCTAGACTTCAAACTGAGGAGAACGTTTTAAATCCCAAAGCAGTGAAACCAGTCACAGACGAAAAGAGAGCTTTGGTACGTAAAAATCAGACTGCCTACCACTCCAGGATGGCAAAGAAAGAAGGCCCTGGACACTGGGAAATGTCTTCTCGCCCAGGGAGAGGCGAGAATACATTATAGCTCGCTTCCTCTCAGTCCTGGCTCCCTGCTCTGTTTGACATGGGGGTGGTGGCACCTCCCTGGTGGGATGTGTCCAGTTCTAAGGTCGAGAGGGCTGACGGGTGGATAACAGCTTTCCTCGTCCCTGCCCCCAGGAATTTGTCACCAGCACACGGTTTACCGAAAGCTTAGAGGGGAAGGTGTTTGCTGGGAGACGGTAATCATGGTGTGCTTTGTGAAAGCCCCTGATGGCAGGTTTCTGGAGAAGTGGGGAGAGAGCAAGTGCTCCAGATCCAAAGATACTCCAGGATGGGGTAGCTGCTGAGTCTGTTAGGTGGTTGAAATGTGGAGGAGGGTGAGTTTAGAGAGGCTGGCGGGGTCTTTGAAGCGCAGTGTAGTTTTATTTTATTGCATGGAGATGAAACTGGGTAAGAAAACGGATTTTAAGGTTCTGAGTTAGTAAATGGGGGTGAGGGGAGTGAGTGGGTGAACAGCACGGCTCACGTGACAGGAAAGCAGTACCAACGCCATTGCCCAGGGAGCCTGGGGTCGGAGGATAAGAGGTCAGTCCGCTTCAGTACGCAGCTCAGGAGGCCGAAGGCAGCTGAAGAGCGAGCAGACAGATTTCTCGTGTGACCAGAACGCCCGGGTGCCAGTTCTTTGTTTGTTTCTTTAATGGGGTCTTCCTCACACTGCCCGTGGAGACTGAAAGAATGTTCCTGGAAGGGCCGGCGTGGGTGGGTTTGCAGCAGCTCCAGGCGGAAGAGAGCCTGAGGGAGGCCTGGCAGGCAGCTGGGTGTCGGGGGTGCTCCAGGTTGGCAGAGGCGGGCAGTCCCGGTGTTTGGAGGGGGACAGCGAGGACTCGCCGGGTGCCGGGAGCTGTGTGCGCGGGGGCTTCAGATGCACAGAAAGCACCTTGCCCACCCGCACCACCAACTAGTCCAGGTACTGCCAACAGATTGCAGAGTACAGGGGTCGCGCACAGGGCGCCCGGGCCCTGAGGTGCTGCACAGGTGGAGGGCGGTTGCCCGTGTGCGGAGCCTCACCTCCACAGGGGCTCGTGGGGTCCCCTGCCGCAGGCTTCCCTTCCCCGAGTCCTGCCATCTTCGCGTCACTCAGGTCAGTCTCCCCCACTGGCCCAGGCTCTGTTGACCTCGGCCTTCACCGAGTAAACGTTACTTCACTGAGTAACCTTGACACTGAGAGCGTAGAGGTCCCGGAGAAGATTGTAGTGGCGCACATGACCCAAGTGGTCCAGCGAGGAAAGGTGTCCAGACTGCCGCTCTGTGCCCTGAGGGTCGGACATCTACCCTCAGGATTTCAGCAACAGAATCTAAGCTTTGGGGCTGTAGGGACCAGGTCTGAGAACCGGGAAGTTGCCCGTAAGTAACAGGAAGTTGTTGCAGGTTCGTTTCCGTGCTGAGATAAGGTTTGGGTTTTAGAAGGTGCACAGGGCACCTTGTGGCTCACAATCGTGCTGCTGGCTGCCACCCTCAACTAGGGTTCCCAAAATGACAGAGGAGCTCTGGGCACCCTGGGCAGTTTCCACTGGGGCAGTGGATCAAAACGTCACAGAAGACGGCAAGGCAGAGATCCCCACGTGGGCACCTGGGCAGAACCGCGAGGCTCCCCTGGAGGAGAGACCAGACCACTGTTTGAACAGCCTTGTCACTGGTTCCTCTGCCTCTGCCCACCTGTTCCCTTTTTTTGCTTCCACAGTGATGTTTTCTAGAACAGAATCTGTCAAGGTCTCTGAGGGAGACCCAGATGGTTCCCCTCCGGTCTCCAGGACAAAGCCCACCCTCTTCAGCCTCCTGGCGAGAGCCCCCCAACCCGGGTCCTGCCTCCAGACTCCTCTCTCTGTCCCGTCCGCAGGCTGTCAGCTACTCATGTTGCTCCAGCTTCAAAATACGCCTGTATTGCAGCCACTTCTCACACCGCCGCTGTTACCCGACTAGTGGGTGCCCCATCATCTCCAGTGTTGACTGAGCTTCTGTATTAGGGTTATCCAGAGGAAAAACCAATAGGATGTTTGTGTGTGTGTGTATTAGAGAGACAGAGACAGAGCTCATTGTAAGGAATTGGCCACGGGATCATGGAGGCTAACAATGCCCGGTATGTCCATTTAGTAAGCTCGAGTCTGGGGAGAGCCAATGTTTCAGTTTGAGTCCAAAGGCGGCAAGGAACCAATGCTCAAAGGCAGTCCAGCAAGAAGTCCCTTCTTATTACATGTTTTCGTTCTATTCTGGCCTTCAACTGATTGGATGAGGCCCACCCACGTTGGGGAGGGCAGTCTCCTTTACTCAGTCTACTGATTCAAATGTTAATCTCACCCAGAAACACCATCACCGACACACTCAATGTTTGACCAGATATCTAGGTGCCCAGTGGCCCAGTCAAACTGACATGGAAAGTTAACTATCACAGTTTCCAAACCCAGCTTCCTGTTGTCCCCCACTTCAGTCTGTTCTCAACACAGCAACCAGAGTAACCTTTTATGGTCTTAAGGCAGGGGTTGCAAACTAAAGCCCACAGGCAAATCCATCCCACTGGAAGTTCCTGTATAGCCCACAAGGTAAGCATAGTTTTTCCGTTTTTAAGTGGTTGACAAACACCGCAGAGGAGAACAGTGGCATCTAATAGTAAAAGTTGTATGCAATTCAAATTTCAGTGTCCGTAAATAAAGTCGACTGGAGCCCAGCCACGCCTGTGTGTTTAAGCATCCTCTATGGCTGCTTTTGCTCCGCACCTGCACAGTTGAGTAGTTGTGAAAGAGACCTTCTAGCCACAAAGCCTGAAATATGTACGGTCTGGCCCTTGAAGAAGCTTGCTGGCCCCTGTATTTAGGCTCAGAACTCTCCATGGCTTCTCATGCCACTCAGAATAGAAGCTAAGATCCTCACAATCGGTCGAGGCTGGCCCTGCCGCCTCTCGGACTTCCTCTCATGTCCCCTTGTGTTCACGAGGCCTGCTGTCTTGGAGCTTTCCATGTGCTGCTCCCTCTGGACCACCCAGCCTACCCCACACCCAGGATCTGCCCAGCTCACCGCCTCACCCCCCTCCCCTGCTGTCTTCCCCATCACACCTTATTACCACCAGCTCTTCAACTCATTGAGTTTTTGACTGCCAAGAAGAATGTAAACTCTGCGGGGACAGGGACTTGTGTCATTCATATCATGTCCCCAGGATCTGGCACATTGTGTTAATAGATAGTTGAATGAATGAGTTGAAAATAGAGACGTCATCTGGGATGGGGCGCCTGTCGGATCGTCTGTGTGCAGTTGTTTGCTGCCAGCATAGAGCCTCCGCTGAGTCGCTTGGGCCAGTGAGCCCACGGAGCCACCTCCAGTGGCGTCATATCTGCAGTTCCCTTTACAGGAGCCTGGGGGTCAGGGAAGCCAGGGAGCAAGCAGGCAGAGCAGGTGTGCAGTCGTGGAGAACGGGCTTCTGGGTCCCTTCAGCTCCCTGAGTCGGTGTCTAAGGTCCAGCTGCATTTCTGACCTTAAGTTCCATGAGACACCCCAGGAATCCTATTGCCTCAACCCAAGTTGAGTTGAGTTTGCAGCCAAGACGCCTTCCTCATGCAGGTCTGTCTCCATCAGAGCCCCTTGAGGTCCAGGATCGGAGTTCTTCATCTCACCAGGGCCACCCTGAAGGCCGGTCCTCGGGGTGGCTGCTGCCCAGCTCGGGACAAGCGCTGAGTCTGGAGCACGTCTCCGGATTGGGTGCCCTCTGGGCAGGTCTGGACCGGCGCCCGGGATGACCCGGTGAGCCCTGGGAGCCCTCGTTCTCTTACGGTCTGGAGGAACGGCTGCTCTCTGCAGGCTCCCATCCCGGAAGCCTGCTCCCGGGGCTGCCTGGAGCGGCAGCCAGAACCCGGGGCGGCCCGTGAACTCCCCCAAATTCTGTTCCCATTCGAGAAAGGGAATTGCATCCCGGCTGCAGTGGGCCCCCAGCTGGCCATTTCCCCTTTAGATGAGTCAAACTGGCAAATCGCAGCCCGGGAGCCTTCCCTTGACTCAAAGAGGATGTATGGGGGTGGGTGGCAGGCGGCTGGGTGTGAGTCCTCCACCCAACCCTCCAGGGCCAGGCCTGCCTTTAGAGCAGGTCTGTTCTCACTGTTGTCTGAGATCTTTGCTTTCCTTTGAACAGAGGGTCCCATGGTGGGTAAGTTTGAAAACCGCTGCCCCCCAAAACAGGCTGCACAGCCAGTTGGACTCTCGTCTGTCTGGGAGGAAGGGGCAGGCTTTGCCGTCTGACCCCGTGGGCTGGAATCCACCTGGGTCCTTCCCTGAGCCTTGGCTTCCTCAGAGGCATGATGGCCACTTGGGAGGCAGGCCTGATTCTAGGAGACACGTCACCCCCCTTTTCCTGCAGTTTCCCCATTTTCAGGGAAGTGGGCGTCTTGAGGGGAGGGGCCACAGTGCATTCATTCCCAGGAAGTTACAAAGAGATAATTGCATCGCAGCCATAGCCGGCCAGTCAGCTGCGGTCCCTGCCCATCCGTGTA